CCCTCTTCCCTCCCTCTTCCCTCCCTCCCTCTTCCTCCCTCCCTCCCTCTTCTTCCCTCCCTTCCTTCCTTTTTCCATTATTGGGGATGGAGCCCAGGGAAGCTCTACCCCTGAGCCACATCCCAGCCCTTTCTATGTTTAATTCTGCGACAGTGTCTAAGTGGCCCCGGACCTGGAACTTGCCACCCCCCTGCACAGCCCCTGAGTACTGGGGTACGCTTTGATGCCTTTCCTGGCCGCCCCTCACTCAGTCATGTTTGCTCCCTCACTGTCCCGGGGAGGACGGCAGCCTGCGTGGGCGCGTTCCTGTCCAGACTCACTGCTTAGTGTGACTTGAGCCCACTACGTACCCTTGGGCCTCAGTCTCAGCCTCACAGAGGGGATGTCAGCACCCACACTAGGTGGCTGTCAGGGATGTGGGCTTCCCGAGGGGCAGGTCCCCCGTAGGTGGCTCCCAAGCTAGCGTTGGAGGGATGGTGGGCAATGGCAGCATCAAGCGAGTGACCCAGTGGACGAGCCAACACACATGGGGCCAAAGACACATGGCATGGATGGACGAAGCCAGGCGGGGCTCTGCGCGTACCACCAGGACGAGAGACTCCGCCGCGCCACTCACCAGGCCATTTTGGAAGCTCAGTGGAGACCTCTGGCGCTGCCTGGCATGGGGAACTCCTGTCCTCTGGAGATGGGAAAGCCGGCGTCACTTAGAGTTTGGGGAGCTCCCAAGGACTCCCCTCTCTCTGGGCCACTCGGTCCTCAGTCCCAAGTCCCCAGGTTGAGGTTACAAGATGGTGGCCAAAGGCCTATGTCTTCTTTTTTATATTTTTTATTTTTAGTTGTAAATGGATCTTTTATTTTATTTATTTCTATGTGGTGCTGAGGATCAAACCCAGGGCCTCGCACGTGCTAGGCAAGTGCCCTACCACTGAGCCACCACTCAGGCCCTGGACAGCTGTACCTTTAAAGGTGTCCCCAGTGTTTTGAAATTCACAGTGTCCACATAAAAACCGGATCTCCAGCTTCGGGGGATCTGGCCACACTGGGTCTGGCCCCTGCTGTTTGGCAGGACGGGGTTTCTCCACTGCCGTGCTGCCTGCACGGTGCCCCTCCCCACTGGGGACCCTGGCCTCGGCCTCGCTTGCCCATGAACTTGACCTGCCAGCCCCGGAGGAGGTTCTGACGGGGGGCCATGCTGAGGACGCTTCATCCCGGGGCCTCAGCAGCCTCTGGGATGCTCACGGGCCCAGGGGTCCTTGCCTGTCCCAGCTGTGCGGGCGGTCAGGGCCGGCTCAGGCATGCTGGGCAGGTCAGCTGCAGAGGGAGCGAAGGGGCTGGTGGAGCCGGGCCGGTCCGGGGACGTGGGGAGGCTGTGGACGGCAGGGCCAGTGGAAGGTGGGGCTTGGCTGGTCAGGGGCGTCTCACCTACATGGAAGGTGGAGAGGGGTGTAGGTATCTCTCCAGGAACCCACTTGGGTCGCCCCTGCCCCGAGGCCAGCGGTGGAGCCCGGCATGTCTGGGGAGAAGAAGGGGGACTTCCAAAGAGACGTTTCAGGATGAAGCTAAGCCGAGCTCTGGGGCTCCTTCTAGATCCCGGAACCTTGGTGGCACAGGACCAGAAAGTGCTGCCCTTGACTTGAGCAGAAGCACCCTCCACCACACCCCCGAGCCCTGACGGGCCTTCCCGGGGCCTGTCCACAACCCCACAGCAGGCGGCCCAGCAAGGACCGTTTCACCCATCAGGAAACCAGCCAGATGGGAGAAAGCCGTGTGAGGATGTGCCCAGACAGTCCAGGTGGGCACACTGAAGGGGGGAAGGGCTGCCGCTCCCGTGTGCACCTCTTCCTGTTTGGCAGGGTGTCACAGGGAGGGCAGAGGGCCACTCCCGGGCACACTCCAGCTGCTGCAGGGAGCTCCACCAGCGAGGATGGAGCCCAGAGGCACCACACCACCCCCAGAGCCGGGGAGGACCAGGCAGGGCCGTCAGGGGAGGAGGTGGCCGGGGGCCAGGCCTCCCACACTCACCGTGGCAGATCAATATGCTGCACAGGCCGGTGCCGGCGCCCGAGATGGGCCAGAGCCCCTGGGGTAGCGTGGGCAGCGTGGGCAGCGTGGGCAGCGTGGGCAGCGTGGAGATGAGCTGGATGGGCCCAGCAGGGAGATGGAGGCAGCTCGCGGAGGCCGTGGGGGAAGGCTCTGCAAGAGGCAAAGGCGGGCAGTGGGCTCTCCCGGCCCCTGTCCTCGGGACTGTCCGGTGACCATGAGGTTCTCGTCGACCCTCCCAAATGGCTCTGGTCTCCCTGAGAGCAGCCGCTGAGCCTGTCTTGCAGGGGCGATGTCCCCAGCCCCAGCAGGGGCTGGCAGGGACAGGGTGCTCCGGGAGGAGGTGTCGAGGGCATAGGACCGGACAGTGACCCCCGGGTGCTGGAGACACCCCCCCCGGGCCTCCCAGAGACGGGTTTCCTGCCCAGGAACGTTTTCCGGCAGGACTGAGGTGGGACCCTGGGCAGAGGTGGGTGACACTGAGGGCACCCTGCCTAGCCTCTGCTCACCCACATCCCAGGGCGAAGCCCACCTCCCTGGTCCCCTACGTACCGGGCATCTGCACAGCTTTCTCCGGGTGGATCTGGCTGGACGTTGGCTCCTGGTGGAACAGAGCAGCCGGCAGGCCAGGCGGGGAGGCCGGGTCACTCGCTGGTCCCACCAGGAAACTGCCAGTCACTATGGGCACAGCAGGGGCCTCGGCTGTGGGGAGGGGGCTGTGTTAGAGGGGGGGAGACCTGGTGGCTCCGGGAGAGCCCTGCCCGGGCTGGGAGGCATCCGGAGCCGGGGGATCTCCCCTGGCAGCTAGGGACTCGCCGGTCCTGGCTGTGGTCGGGCTGGGCAGGCAGTTGCCCGGTCCTCCAGGGCTCTGGACCCTAGAGGCCCCCACTGAGATCTGGGGGCAAACAGGACCCGCGAATAGTCTGTGGGGCTGGACCCCCAGCCTCAGGCTCTGCCCAAAGAAGGGCAGGGGTCACCGTGCGCCCATCAGAGGGGACAGCGGCTAATCTCCATTTAATGAGGGTCCAGAGGGCAGGGATTGGCCCCTCGTGAGACTGGAAGCCCTCTGAAGGCAGGGCCACTGGAGCACCCGGGTCTTCACAGGGGCTGGGAGAGGAGGACCCACCTCCCATCGGCTCCCTAGGGACAGAGACCACGTCTCATCATCTTGCCGTCCCCATGGGCAGGACCCCGTCTCCACGAGCAGAGGGGGGCTTTCTGAGGGCGGGGACAGGGCCTCCCCCATCAGACAGGACCCTTCGACCTCTGCTCCTCCTGGGCTGGCCGCCACCTGCCCCAGAGCAGCTGGGTGGAGAGGCAGGGGAGGGAGCGGAAGAGCACCTGGTGGGGGATGGTGAGCTGGGCCAGGCGGTGGCCGGTGGAAGGAACGGAGAGGAGAGGCTATCGGGAGAAGCCGAGTCTCCCAGCAGCCCTCACCCACGGGACGTGGGCTACGATGTCATGGTCTTGCTTGAATCCCACTCCCCCTCTCGCTAGCTGTGTGGTCTCGGGCAGGTGACTTCACCTCTCTGAACCTCAGTTGTCAATGCAGGTTTGCACAGGCACCTGCAGGGGCCCCAGCTCCCCAACCCCAGGATCCCCGGGGCCCCCCTGCCCCACTCACCGAGCTTCCTGTGCTTCAGGTCTGCAGGGTGCTCTTCTGAGAGAGCTGCAGAGAGGACAAAGGTCATCAGGCCCAGGGAAGTGTGTCCCCAGCCAGGATGGGGCTCAGAACCAGTCTTGGGAGCTGGACAGCAGCCTCGGGGGCCAGTCCCTCTCCTTCCTCTAAATGCACTGGTCCCTGTTCCTCAGCGGGAGCCCAGATCCCATCTAGCGGAGCGGAGCGGACAGGGAGGCGGTGGAGAGGGCAGGGCTGCAGAGGACACGGCCTGGGTTTGAGAGGAGGGACGTTCTAGAGACAGGGGACAGGCCGGGCAAAGGCCCTGAGGCTGGGGAGGCCTCGGTCCCAGGTGGAGAGAAGCCAGTGTCTGGCCTGTGGTAGCTCCTGGTGAGCTGGGAGCTGAGAGCTGGACCCCCTGGGGGGTCTGCAAGGGGCGAAATGACCAGATCTGCATTCGAAATCTACCATTGTGCCTGCCACCCCAGCGGCTCGGGAGGCTGAGGCAGGAGGATGGCAAGTTCAAAGCCAGCCTCAGCAACTTAGCGAGGCCCCAAGCAACTCAGAGAGACCCTGTCTCCAACTGAAATGTTTAAAAAGGCTGGGGACGTGGCTCAGTAGCTGAGCACCGCTGGGTTCAACTCTGGCACCCCCCAAAAAAGAAAAGAGAGGCTACCGAGGGCTACCAGGTGAGGACAGACTGAGGAGGCTCAGAGAGGTGCAGGCACTTGGCCCGGGTCACAACACCACAGCAGATTCAGGACTCCACCCAGTTCTGCCGAGGTCAGGTGCAGAGACCTCCCTCAAACATCAGGTGACCACTCAGGGCAAGAGAAGCCAGGACCTGAGGGGCGTCCAGGGAGTGGTGATCAAACAGCCGGGGGCAGAACCGGGGAGGAGGGAGGCGGTTTGCGACCCGGGCCATCTGCTTCCTCCCGGTCAGCAGTGAGCTGCGTGGAGGGACAGGCGGCAGGGACCCCTAGCCCAGGTGGGGCAGGTGGGGCTTAACCGGGGAAGCTCGTGGGAGCCACAGCAGGTTCTGGAGCCACGGAGGGGCCAGGAAGGGGCTTACTCACGTCTTTTCTGGCTCCTTGGCCCTGGTTCTGCCGGCACCTCCAGGCCCTCGCCGAGCACCCCGTCCAGTCCTATGTGTTCCACTTGAAGAGAGCAGAGACCGGTTCTCACGGTCAGCGGAGGCCCAGGCAGCCTCCCGTCCTCCACTGGGGAGGCTCAGGAATGTGCTGCCTCCCAGGACAGGACCCTCCCCACTTACTGAAAAGGTCCCTGCTCAGGCCCTCCAGCTGCGAGTCCTGGAACACGTACTGGTCCAGTTCCGCTGGCCAGACAAGGAGAGGCACGGTCAGCAGAGCTCACGGAGGGCCACCACGTGTGAAGCCTGGGGCTGGCCACCAGAGGCCTGTGACCCTGGGCCTGGCACACAGTGGGGACGCTATAGACGTAGCTGAGCTTTTGAACGATGAGGTGGATGAGCACTGAGGCTTCCTGGCTCTAACCCGAGCCCAGGAGGCAGACGTGCCCAGGAGCCTCCCGGCTGCCATCAGTGGCCCAGGCAGAGGGGAAGGGTCGGCCACCGCGCCACCTCTCCAGTGGCCCTACTCGCTGGACAACCTTGGGCCAGTGTCTCAACCTCTCTGGACCCCCATTCCATCACCTGTGATGGTGAAGATAGAAGCTCTGTGTTTAAAGTGTTCAACACAGTAGCAGCATACAGTAGGCGTCCCTGCATGCTGGCATAGCAGATGAAGTGGTACATGGCTTAGAGCCAACGGGAAGAGAGTTTTCGTGGAAGACAGAGAGAGGAAGGCGGGCCATCAGGGAGGGGGCCATCAGGGAGGGGGCCATCAGGGAGGGGCCCCAGGAGGAAGGGAGGTGACAGTGTGTGCCAGGGGGGAGGGGTCTCCTGGGTGGTGGGACACTGAGGAACGGCCTTCGGGGTGTGCATGGAAGTTCTGTGGTGGGGAAAGTTGGACCTGACCGTGAAGGCGATGGGGAGCCACAGAGGACTCTGGAGCTGAGACTCAGAACCAGGGCGGTCACCAGGGAGCTGGAGGCTGTCGAGTGCCCACTCGGAGGAGCAGAGCCCTCCTACCCACCGTCTTCACGACCGCTTCACCCGCTCTGCACCCAGGAGGCTGGGCGAAGCCCCGGGGTGCCAGGAGGACCCAGGGCCTTGGATCAGCCTGGGAAGCCACCTCCCCACCTGCTCAGGCAGCTCCCACTTCCTCTGCTGATGCCCCAGGACAAAAGCCCCCAGATCCCTAGCGATGCCCGGGTCCCTAGTTGCTGCCCCAATTGTGAGAAATGTGAATGCCACCGACTCTGGCTTCCACCACGAGTCCCCAGGGAGGGAGGAGCCCGGCAGGCTCCTGGGTGGTTCGTTCTGAGTCAACCTCTTCATTCTGCCTTTGTGGGATAGTGGCTTATCTGCTCTGGTGGAAACTGGTGACATCCCTGCCCAACAGGCCTCCTGAGAGGTGTGGTTCCTGGGTTGTCAGGTAAAGGGCCACTAAGAACAGTTGTGCAGGTTGTTGGCTGCACAAGTATGCCCAGCCAAGAGGACCAACGGGCAGAAATCCAAACTGGCCTGTGCTAACAAACTGCTACTTCCTGGTAGGGGCTGCACCTTCCAGAAGAAGGGACACCTTTTCTCTAATTCAACAAAGCCTCTTAGGAGGCAGTGGTGACCCTGGTGGGAAGGGGTCCTCCTCTCTTCCTCCTCTTTGCCCCCAAAATCCACAGCAGCAGTGACAGGTGTGTCTCTCCTGCGAGAGTCCCGCCTGTGTCTGAAAGCTGTGCCTCTGCACGCCGCGCATCAGCTTCTCAAAACCTTAGCAAGTGTCCCCCGTCAGACTCTTTTTTTGTGGTTGACAACGGGGACTTTGAAATGAGGAAGACCTGGGTTAGAATGTCAGACCTACCCACTGCCATTTCTAACGCAGCCTCTAACGCAGCAGGTCCCTTCCGTCCCTAAACCTCACCGTCCTCGCCTGTCAAAGGCGATTCTGACCTACAGCCGTCGCTGTGGGCAGGCGCCCTGTGATGGTGCGCTACACCAGCGACCGGCCCTGGCCCCCGTAGCAGGAGCTGGGGAGGAGGAGGAGGGGAAGGAGCACGAGGCTGGGATGGATGTGGAGGGAAGAGGAGCAAGAGCCAGAAAGGGCGGAGGAATGGGGGTGAAGGTGAGCTTGTCTGCCTGGGGCCACTAGCAGGGCTCCTTACCCCCTGGGGTGTCCACCCCTCAGCCTTGGTCCCCCATCCTTTCGGGGCGGGGGCGGGGGGGCTGAGATGAGCGAAGGAGCAGACGCAGCTCTGTCCCTGCCTGTCCCGCCCTGGGCTCAGGACCTTCCTCACCGATATGGGCATACGCCTCCCTGGTCTCCTCGTCCCCTTCCATGTCACACAGCAGCCTGCTGAACTGGTCGCAGTTGATGGTGTCCGCGTCGGGTTCTGGGAGGAAAAGACCCCATGAAGCGGGAGCTGGCTGCGCAGAGGGTGGGCGAGGCGCGCGGCGGGGAGGCCGGCGGGAGGGAGCTGTCCGCGGTGCTGACCGGCCTCCGCCTGCCTGTCTGCCTGCGGCTGGGTGGACCGCCCACCTGAGCCCGGCTCGGTCTCCTCCTCGGCGGCCAGGTCCATCTGGTCATAGAAGTGGTAGAGGTGCAGGGGGTCGGCGCTGCTGTTGAGGAGCTCCAGGTAGCCGCCCTCCAGAGGCCCCGGGTCCACCATGGCGCAGTGTCCACTGCCTGGGAGGGAAGAGGCGCCCTGGTGAGGGCCGGGGTCGTGGGAGCCAGGACTTCTCGGCTTAGGGAGGCGGGAGGCTGTGGAGCCTTAGGCAAGTCACTTGACCTCTCTGAGCGTCAGCTCTCCCTCGCTGGGCCTGGGCATGAGCCTCCTCCAGGACCAGCCAAGGCCCGCAGGGGGCGAAGCAAGCTCAGCACTGGAGGGGGCGCGGACTCCGGGCTCCCTGGCCAGACCTCCCCAGGGTGGTGCCCTTGCCACCCTTCAGGCCAGGACTCACTTGGGCCTTGGCCTGGGACCTCCTGGTGTCCCCGGAACCATGTGCTGAGGCTGGCATTGAACTCGGGATCCTCCTGCCTCAGCCTCCTGAGCTGCTGGGATCACAGGCCTGTGCCACCACCCAGTGGGACTAACAATCTAAAGGGACTATTGGG